ATACTGTATACAATACTGTTTATTCGACAGTCCCAGAAATTATATTATAGAGTCCTTAACAGTATATATTCAAAAGCAGAGATAGTACTAAGCAGAGAAGTTGTCCACAGAATACAAGCCCCGAATAAATATATATCCCAAATAGTCTAATAGAATAAATCTGTACCGTCACAATAATTGTCCACAGAAATAATTAATAATATATCTATACTTTCTACTGTCGAGTACTTTCTGCCTACTGGTCGTCTATCTGCTGAGTATCCAGACACTGCTTTAGCACCTTCAGCCTTTATATCTTATTATCCAGTCCCGGCGAATTCTATCTGCTATTCCAACTGGAAAGTAAATAATTTAGAACTACGGGATATATCTTCCCAGATAACAGACAATTTATACGGCTCCCCTGCTAAAGAAAGAACTATATTACTTATATTAATATAGATATTATGAGGCCAATTCCTAACACTTATCGTGTTATCTTCAGTTCACCGATAAATCTGAACGCTTTTACTATACTTTATTACCACTCACAATATATTCTAGCATGCCCCCACCCATATATCAGAACTACAATATCTCGCAATATCGAGTTAATAAGGCCACTATGTAGACTCTTTATTCAGTTATACTTGACAACCACGACAGCTTAAAATATAGGATTGTCTATATTAAAGTATCTGTGGCTTCGATCGATCAGTCGGCTATGGTATATCTGAAATTGATCTCTAAGACAATCACTGAGCTGCTCAAAAACTATATACAGTAACGTTATAAATACAGTATATCTAGTTGGTTAGAAGCATATACAGCTTTTGTTTTAGAGTTAGCTGCGTGGCGGTATCCTATATACTTTGGAGTCTTTGAGACTTTTGTAGATACAGAGAGTAATACTCAGGTACCGATAGATATCTCGGAGAATATTAAATTAAGCATATTAATACTGCTTTCGTGTCTGGTACTATAAAACATACTAGTTAGTTAATCTTTATATATAATTAGTTTTTCATTAGCTTATGACTAGGTATCTATTATATAGTTAGTATTCTGATAAACCGGGCTTCATCGTATTACCGGTAAGGGAATAACATTTGGCCGAGGCCGGGCATTCCTTTTTCCGAGGTCCTCGTTTAGCTTGTTTTGTGGGAGGGCATCGAGCAATTTAAGTACCAATAAATCTCTCGTAGATTATTTCACACCAGGACCTTTGTCTAGACAATATTTAGTAGAATACCGAGCTAAACTATGTTATGATTATCGACTTCCACTGTTCTCGACCAGACCCACAGCCGGTCAAAAAGCGGCCAAAGTCAGGGAGATTCAATTTTAGTGTTGAGGTGTATAAGCGGAACGACTTCGTCTGACAAAAGACAATACACCCAGTAATATGTTTCACATGACCTTACAGCTTAGTATTGGTCAATAAAATTGCCTAGTTCTAATAACACGTGATAAATAATCAATTATAAAGATTTGATTTCAGTTCTATAAGTAACATATTCAATCAATAAAACGGGATCTAACAAAAGAATATAAGATAAATAATAAAGTTATAACCTATATCTCTCTAAATCTCTTTCTCTTCCCTAAAACTAAGAGTGTTTCAGAAACAGCTTGTCTTTTGTGTACTCTATAACATTTATAGAGTCTATTACAATAGAGATACTTATTCAGCAGCCTTGGGACCCACTGTCGAAGCTTATAGTGGGAGCACCACTCTACACCGAGACAAAGAAATGTCAAACGACCCTCTGGCGTTAAGCTGTGTACGAGGATAGCCGTTATAGGGTCGGTATAGTTATCAGATTGATTTATAGAGAAACTAGGCCGCTGATTATTATCTGTTTAGGTATCTGCTGTATAAGTTAAGCAAACACCCCTCTATCCAATAGGTACAAAGAAATATACTGTCAATCCGAGTATATTTATTGACTTGTTCGACCGGGGGGGACATCATATTTTATATATATTTAGAACTATCGCTGATATATTTACTAAGTAACATCGCCGGTTCACCACTCTCAGTGGTATATCCTAGAATAATTAAGTTTATTAGTCTATTATAGCTAAGAGCTATATACCTGAGTAAACATTTCGTACTGAACTCTCGGCTACTGTTACATATAAGACAACAGCTGGGGTACAGCCATCCCGATTTAACAGCTGGGCTGCTATATCGCCAGAGAATAGAGACCCTCCAGCTACATCTTCATTCACTATACTGTGTATAGTCACGCTGTGGCCCTTGCGACTATACGGAGTTATTGAGACAATACTATTATTCAAATAGTATATCTACCGATTGTTATTCTGGCTGTGGCAGTTATGACTTTACGAGCAATAGCTGGGAGTTTCCGGGATAGTGTCACCGTCGGTATTATCAGAAGAAGGGGATTTGGCACTACTTTCCTCGATATTAATATAGATTGGATTACTCGCAGAACCTAATATAGAAAAGTCCTCCGGTCTTTCTATAGAGATGTAACAATCGTCCTCAGAGAAGTATCGATACCTTTCTATAAACGTTGTTATTGGGGAGAATAAGACCAAGCTAGTCTAGGAGACAAAGTTCAGGATATAAAGATAGATATAGAAATAGAAATAACAGTTCAGTTACAGAATAAATAATTTCGGGGGAATGAATGCCCTTATATATCTTTTTTACTTTTTGTCCTAGGCCAGCGTGACGTATAATTATAGCAGATTAACCTCCGTATTCCGCGGATATACATGCCAAGGCAGTAACTTATTGAATGGCTTTTTACTGTGTTGATAGGTAGTGCAGCAGATATTGCATTCTGTTAATATTGGACGATCTTATTCGTAATAGTTGAAGCCATTACAGTAGACTAGCAAGAATAAGACACAGGTGACCTGGTAAAACTAATTGGGAAGAACACCTGGACAGGGCCTAAGAATAGAGCTTTTCGAAACCTTACTCTCGCAGCAGATCGATATCTATGAAGGTAACTGGTCGAGTATTTAGTCTTGATCCACCTTATAATACTCCAATACCATTCCTTACACTGCAAGGTATCTATTATTATTAATATAAAGTTATACAAGCCACCATATTTCTAAGAATAAGGAGATATGGTTCGGTAGAAACACCTCAACCAGTCATCACTTGCGATCATGGGAGACTTATTCCTCGGTATCTAAGGTCAAGTATGGATAGTCTTGCGAGAGGCAGTGACCTGGACATCCAAGGGAATCTGTACCGCAGTCAAGTGAGATAATAGAAACAGCGACCAATACTTCCATCCCAACACCCTAACAACGACTGTCAGTTAGGCCAATTAGAGATAAAGGATAGTTCCCACTCGAGATTATCTCCAAGACTTCACATAGCCTTGGGCAGGTAGGCACAAAGAAGGGTGAAACAGAATATCAAAATAGCATAACACTAACCTTACTTGGAAGCGTCTGCTTTTTCTAGACCACAAAGATAGGGCCTGTCACAATCGGGCTACGCAATAGTATATTGCGAAGACCAATTATTGCGAGTATTTCTAACTTATCTACCGTATAAAGTATAGTCAAGTCAGCCTACTGTAACATCTGACCATATTTAGGTATTGAGACCCAGCCAGCGATTTATCCACCAACAAGCGAGTTGGTCCGATCTTTGCGTTCGCTGCAAGTTGAACATCATAATCCCAGACCAGATAGAGGGATATATCCGGTTACGAATGAATATATACATCCAGGCCGGCTGCGTAAAGATAATAGCCTGCTCTTCAGTTTCCTAGGATATATAGATACTAGGATATCGGAAAGTCTGGTGCTAACTTGCTTTTCGCTATCCTGGGATATCAAGAAGCCTGATACCACCTCGACTATTAAAGAAACCTTTATTCCTGCCATTTCTTACTTCCCAATCATCTTTACCTCTGACCCAGTCGATAACAGCTGTCTCGAAGCATTTTCATCATAGCGTCCAATAGCATTAGCATTCAAGAGCTGGAAAAATTTGACCACCCTTTCAGAGTCAAGCAGACGCTAGCCACACCTCTTAGTAAGTTCGTCGGTATGATAGCTTCCCACACAAATATCGATCTTGGCTGTACACCAAAGGTATGCTAGAATCCACGACAATAAAGAGATCTTGGGCTGATTATAGTAGTTCCACACAATTATTTAGCAGCTGTGCGGAGAAGCCCCGAGGCAGCGCGAACCATTTCCGGAATAATATAAGAGAATATTATACCAATTCCTGTAGACACAAGCGCAAGCCAGCTCACAATCCTTCATACCGCCCACAAAAGCTAAGAAAACAAAGGGCCGGCCCCTAGCGAGTATATCCGAGAATAAACCGGCATTCGACAGTAATCTTGGAGGTTCTATTAAACCACACAACAGATCACCATTGAAGCCTTCCCCGCTGCTTAGTAGTCGTTTATCTCAGGGCGGCTGCCGTGTAGATAAGAAGACATACGACTAGCAGTAGCTCCTCGAGAGCGCTGGAGGGAGAGCTTAATTAGACATTAAGATTAAAAACATAATGCAGAAGAAGAAGAAACATCTTTAGTAAACCCAAGCTGATAGGGCGGCCGTTACAATAGTATAAACATTCGGTCTCACACAAGTCTCGAAAAGTTCTAAAATTCTACAAATATCAACTGAAAGTCGGTAGTGAATTAGCTACGTAATTTGAGCAAGGTACTACGCATGGATAAAAAGTTCATAAGTCGCGCTTAACAAGAGGTGATGATAGTAGTTATACTTCCATAATAAAAAAGTGGGTGAGAGGCTGTATATCAGCAACTAGCAGAAAGTTGGTTAAGAGATATACATTGCTGCGGAAGGTACAAAACTGTCCAGGTAATCTCTTATATTCTTGCCAATGACCGTGTTAGCCAAGGATTTGGCAGCCTAGAATCTATTGTTTTACAGAACAAACACCAGTACTAATTAACCTTCTTTAAAAAACCCTTTAGCTGCCTCACAAAAAGTCTTCCTTTCGACTCGTAGCTTAGCTTCGGATCCTGTTCTACTAGTAATTAATCTGACAGCACAGTGAAAGTAACATTGTTTTCGGGCATTGCTTGCGGAGTTACAGAAGCCTGTCTTATTCTGGATCTCTTTATCAGATCCTTGTAGAAAGCAGCAAGGGTCATCTCCGATAACAGTCGATCAGGATGGTCTTCTGCGAGCACTTCCGATTGTATCGCGACAACATGTTCTAGCAGTTTAACTGCCTCCTTGATCTGTCCATTAGCTTGATATGCTATAGCGAGCGTGTGCTGTGATACCAGTCGATTAGGATGATCTTCTGCGAGTACTTCCGATTCTATCGCGACAATATATTCTAGCAGTTTAACCGCCTCCTTGATTTGTCCATTGGCTTGATATGCTATAGCGAGCATGTGCTGCGATGTCAGTCGATCAGTATTACTTCGAGGAAGATTTATATCCCTCCATTCGCAAGACTTCTGTAACCAAAGAACAGCTTCTTTCACTCGTCCATCAACATATAAGCACTGACCGACTTTGAGATAGAGCTTACTCTTCTCTTCTGTACCTTGGCATTGCTTATCCTTCTCTATGTGCGCCGCATGCGGTAGATAATCCCGCCATATCTCACGATTACCGTAATCGTCGGATGGAAAGACTTCTGAGAGCTATTTTAATGCAGCTATTGTTGTTTCTTCTTTACGGCCATTCTAATTTACCCACATCCTCGTCGCCAAGTGGACTAGTCTATATATATCGAGCTTAGTTCCATTATCTCTTCTCTCCAGAAATAAGTAGGAGCACAGTATACCGATCACTCCTACCAGCCGTACTTCAGGATACGCTGCTGGTAAAATAGAGTATAGGATTACTCTCCACTCAATACAAGATATAAATGCGAGGAGATCTGTAGCTAACGTATCGCATTCGAGAATTTTGTTAAAGGTGATTATCCACATCTTCGCAACCGCATTTATCGAGTTCCGATATCGTGTTTTATCACCGAAATCTGTGCTGATAAGTGCAACAGCATCCTGCTCTGTCTTCTTTAATAGGTACAAATACTCGGAGATAGAGCTTTTATTAGTGTTTATATATACAGCTGCCTGGGTGATAGCCAACGGGAGGTATTCCAGCTCTGTCAGAAGATTTACCACAGTCTCGGAGTTGTCAGAAGGGTTCTTTCGAACCAAAGACTTCTCTAACAAGTTTATTGTCTCCTGTCTCACCATCTTTCCTATCTCAACCACATCGCTGCCCGTCAAGTACTGCGCTACAGCTCCATGCCGCGTTGTAAATATAGTCAGGCCACCATCGCTTTTTGGCAGAAAGGCCAGCAAGCCTTCTATTTGATAGGTCCCGCGAAGCAAGTCAAGATTGTCAGCATTGTCGATAACTAGCAACCACTTTCCTGCGGTCTTTGCACTTAGCCGTTGCCGTACTAGGATTTTCAGATCTTCGCCGTCCTCTTGCTCCTGGCGTATCCCTAATACTCCTACTATCTCCCTGCAGCTTAGCTCAAACGTCTCCATACTCAACGCTTGTACCCAGAAGATAGAGTATTCTGGACAGTCCTCTTTAACTGAATATATGAATTGTAGCGCGACTTGCATCTTACCGATACCACCAAGACCGCTGAGTAATACTTTCTGACAATCTTTATTTACTAGGAGCCTTTGCTTCAGCGTATCAAGCTCTATATTCCAACCAATAAACTTATAATTTCTTTCGAACAGGAGGTAAAAGGTACACTTCACCCCTATAGCGTGTGAGTTATCTCTAAATTTTACACTATGACGGCTAGACTAACCTCGTAGTGCTTCATCGACGGTTTGCGTGTTTACCACATCCGCCACCGGTATCACACCTAGCAACTCCTTCGCGTATACCGCTGCTATTCCCGCCGCGTATAGCTGCCATCTCTTATTCTTGTGGGAGTCAGCGTAGTCGCAGATTCCGCGGATAACCAGACATAGAAAAGTATTCATCAGGCCGGCTGCTTCTATCTCAAAGTAGAGAACTCCTCTGAATTCTGAGCTAATCTTGTCCCGTTCGACTTCGTCCCTCATTACCTGGTTCCCCGACGCGATTGCACTGTAGTAAATCATAGATATATCGTCCGCCCGTTTTTCCCTTTGTATCATCCTCGCGGTTGTATATGATAGACAGCTATCTCTCCACTATAATTATACTCCGCTTCGAACAGCAAATCGCTTCCTACTTGATCGCGGCCGAACTTGGGGAGGTTACCAAGCTTCGACAGGTGTGGCGACAGACTACTTCTCCCTCGGTCGAGGTTGGATCGAAGCTTCGTAACAGCGGCAAGGAGGATTGTGGACGGAGCATTGAGGAACCCCGTCCGCTTGAACCCGCTTGGTGTTGACTTTCCAAAGTCGTATTGCACTACCCCGCCATAACCGTTACCCGGCTGGCTGACAACAATATCGCCAAGCCGAATATCTGCTTCTTTACTTGGAACACCGCCTCCAATTCCTACCATCAGTCCAAATCGAACGGCCGGAAACATAGTCTTTATCTGCATGGCCACCGCTACAGCAGAGTTAGTACCCGTCTGGCCTGCAGACAGACACGCTAGGACGATATTATGGGCTCCTATGGACCCTAGGGTGTATATATTTGAATCGGTATGATTCGAAGGAAGATTCTGGTATTCTTCGTCAAGCATCTCCTGAGCGGCAGTCAGCTCGTCCGGCAAGGCGCATACCCACCCGACCGTGTAGTCATGGTGACTGAGGCGGCGGGCCATCTTGCTCCGGTGTCAGCTAGGATTAGCTTCAACTTGGTTGTGATCTGGATATCATAACCAGCACCGAAATCGGAGACACCTTGTTCAAGATTTATACGAGACCAGACACATATCGCCCACGGCTGACATGGAAAAGGAGCGAGGCTCCGCCGCTGGTGTCATATAGGTCCAATCTCCAATCCTTATACAGATGAGCGATACAGGTGACGAAGCCCAATAAAATCTAGCATTTAGACCAGGGTCAAGATGAGGGGTAGTCAGCCAGTCCGCCTATATTCCATCCTCCTATGAGAACCGGCTCAATCGACAAAAACCTGATAATAGAACCAAAGACGATAGTTTATAGGTCTAGATATATTGTGGCTCACGGCTTTCGTTTCTGTCCAGCCCAGGTGGGGAAAGGACACGTCCAATACTAGATAATAACAGCAATATGTTGAACACTTCCCGGAAGAACAGATACCTCTTCGATATATAGTCTAAGTTCTTTAGCGAGACTCTCACAAAGGGTATTTAGCATCACGGGAATAATGTATAGAGTCGTCGGCCGGGACAGAATAAGGAAGGATTGGGGCTGCCAAATAACCGCATATTCCCATATGTGAGTGATACTGTAGAATGCTCGCGCTGCTTGGTCTATACTGATAATTTACCATCCGCTCAAGTCACACCTAATACAGATTAAATACCACAACAGAACTCACTAATATATTGCGTCGCAGGGGATTCGGCGCTCTGTGTAGAATGACTCTATCGAATAAACTGAAGACTGTCTTTATTAATATTACACGGCAGTGACAACACAGTACCTAATCGATCAAATTTCCATGGGCTTATAATAGACCCACAAAGTGTAAAACCCAGACAGAAGCGACAAGTGTCTTGAACCCTGAATACCTTCCTTGTGTAGTGTCCCAAATCACACCAAGTACTTAATACAGTGTATTCCTTAGAATTGCTCTTCGGTTCTCTACTGACTTGTATATCTAACCAATTGTAGTTTTTCTGGTTGAGTCCTTGAGACCTTTCGACGATACCGATATTGAATTTACGCTCCGCAGGAGAACCACTCAATGGCTGATCTGGCTGTGCCAGGATCCTACAGAGTGCTACCGAGGTAAATTCTTCTCTGGTAGTTAAATTATGGACCCTATCGACCCAGGTCGAAAGCCAATCTAAAGTATCCATCCCACCCCCAAACAACTGTTGAGCCGATTTGGGGGCGAGGGATAGTTCTTACTCGGTATTATTTCGAAGGCTTCATACAGCCTTGGGTAGGTAGGCGATACAAAAAGTAAAATGGAATCTCAAAATAGCATACCGGACTGACCTTGATTGGGAGGCTACTTTTTCTAAGCCACGAAGATAGGACTACTTGCAGCCAGGCTACGTAATGGTTATATTGCAAAGGCTAATTGTCACAAGAAGTCTCAACTTATCTACTATACAGGGTATAGTCTAGTCAGTCTACAGGGATGTCTGACCACACTTTCCTGCTGAGGCCCAGGCTACGATATATCCGCTAACAAGTGTGCTAGTCCAATCCCTGCTATCCCTGCAAGCTGAACATTCTAATCCGATATCAGATAGAGGAATACATCCGGTTACCAATAGGTGTGTAGATCCAAGCCAGCCGTATAAAATAATAGACCGCTTTTCAATATCCTAGGATGGTGGGATATCGGAAAGCCTGGTGCTAGCTCGCCTTTTGCTATCCTGGAATACTGAGAAGCCTGACACCCCCTCAGCTATAAAAGGCCCCTCGATTCCTGCTATTTCCTCACTTCGCAATCATCCTTACCTTGCTCATTCAAAAATAGCTATCTCGAAGCATTTTTAAATATAGCGTCCAATAGTATTAGTATTCAAGAGTTGGACAAATCCAATATATCCTCCAAAGTCGGGGAGAAACTGATCAAACTACTCAGCGAATTTATTAATATAATTACTTCCCACACAAACATTGATCTTGGTCGTATACCTAAGATATACTGGAATCCACGACAATAAAGATATCTTGGGCTGATCAGAGTAGTTCTACACAGTTATTCAGCAGCTGTATAAAAAAGCCCCGGAAGCAGTACGGACCATTGCCGGAATAATACAAGAGGGCATTACAAATTCGCGTGGACACAAGCATAAGCCAACTAAAGATCCTGCATACTGCCGAGGAAAGATAAGAAAAGAAAGAATCAGCCACCCAGCCAATATATCTATAGAAAAACTGGAATTCTGTAAAACTCTCCGAGGCTCTATCTAACCACGCAACAAACCCTTATTAAAGCCTTCGCCGTTGCTTTATAATTATTCATCTCATAGCAGCGGCTGTGGTGAAGAGGGGAAGAACGTATTATCTACAGGAGTCCTAGCCACAATGGCAAGTAAAGCCCTTGCCGCAAGTTCCAAGCAGTCATTGCGCCACACCTCACCGGAGTCAGTACTACACATAGAACCTATATCTTCTAAAATAACACCCGTTACTTCTTCAAAATAAATTGACCGTCGTTTATCTTTATCTCAAATAGAGGAAGTACAGAGGAAAGCAATCCCGACATTACTTACAAGTACAACTGGCCAATCCACACAGATAAAATTGTTCCCGAACACACACTCTATTATAGACTTGACTGTCAAAGCCACCCGTACTATCTGCCACCTTAGTAAACATAAGAATAGTATTCCCTCAGATATACATATCCGAGTCCTTCAATCGCTTCAAGTCCAACCCGGAGTAACTGCAGGATGTACCAACCACAATCATTGGTCAGATGGTTCGATGTAGATACAGATACTTGAAATAGGGAAATCCCGAAAAGACCGAGATATTATATAAAATATGCTCGAATATATAGGAGCTTGAGAGTGGTACAATACTCAGTTAGAGCTTGCAAAGAAAACAGTTATAACAAAAAAGAATAAACCAGTCGGGCAGCAGGGTACCGCAATATATATAATAGACCAAATACAGAACAGATAGATCGGTGGAGTAGGAATAGTTACACTACAGGAAGATAACTCCTATTATCTATTAAGAATTGGCCCTGCCAGTATATCTGCAGAGGAAAAATATTTATAATAAACCCGGATTAGCATGCAGCTTAATAGAGGCAAGCAGTATACCAAACTTATAAAAGAACTGGGGCTTGGGATACTATTCGATAAAAATATCTAGTAAGCTGCAAGAAAAAATTTTATACCTTTAGCTACTAATCGGTGATAGGGCCTATGTTAAATCGGGCAAGGAAGAGCTTGACAATATAGTAAAGGCTATTCAAGCTGATACAAGACATATAAAGCTGCTTCAAATTCTGGCCCCACAGCTAGAACACCTTGTCAAGAATAGGTTGCTAGATCTTCACATTTTCTACAAGAACTTAAAAGAAGCAAAGCTACTGTCTGAATATAAGCTCCATAAACTGGAAGGACATTTTGCTCTAGAAAAGGTAAATACATAGCCTACAACAGCCAGAGTATACATTAATTTTATTACTGAAGGACCCCCTGCCTGACAATCGACTTGAGGCAGAGATTGATCGTCTTATTAGAGACATTAACATAAAGGTACTTGATCAGACGACATTTAGATATAATAATACAATTGCAATCAACAATAGTATAGAAATACTATATGGTATCTTCGACCGACTTCGCCCGGGTAGATAGTTGGATAGTTGGACTATCAACGCTCTTATACAAATCTCCGATAAATCTGTGTTTGTTAAGCATAATCTAAGCATCCCGTTCGACCAGAAGAGTAGTAATAATATTCTTCGGCCGATCAAACACCCGTTAAGAGCCTGAGCCACGAAGATAGCTAAGTTTCGGGAAGAGACCAGGAAACCCTCTAGAGAATTAATCCCTTTAGTTTTTTTCTGCACAATTAATCATAAAAAGCAATATTTTTCGTTACTCAAGATCAATAAACGAGAGAAGGTTATACGCTACTATAATTCGATGGCTAAGGTTACTACTAGGCTCCGTATAGCCGAAGTAGTAAAGGAGCAATTTGACAATTTAAAATTCCCCTACGAAGAAGTAGTAAGAACCCACGGCTATAAGTCCCTTTCAAAGCACTGATATAATGGCATAGCCTACTCCACAACAGGACGACGGCTGGAGTTGCGGAATCAGGACAGTTTAGAACTTTCGGCGCTTATCGAATAATCTCCCAATTGGATCAGGCGATATCGTACTGAACCCCGAGCGGATAATACTAGAAGTGGTAGAGAGACTGACAGCCTGCGTGGAGGGTGGTACGATAACAAAATATATTCGACAAAGACACTCAGAGCGAGAGAAGCGGCCACTGACCTAAATATACCTTTATACAATTAGAACCTAATAGGAAAGCAGATAACTATAACTTATATAAGACATCCGGAAACTGGTATCACCATTTATAGAAACCCTAAGCTGAAACCGCACTAAACTAAATTCGCAATAGAATAGCATAATAATTCTTCCGAACCTTACAGCGTACTGTAATAACAGGGAATATTATATAAATTACATAAATCAGATCTCGGCTTTGTACCCTGATATGGAAACATCTGGATTAAGAATTGACAAGCTGTCTATACTGACAAAATCACCTAAGATTACTGGTGAGTTCTTATTTATAGGAGAAAAATATATAAAAGCCTGAGCATTCCCCGACCCTTCTGTGCCAAGACATTAAAAAATAAAAACCCTGTGAAATATTAAAGAAGATTACTTTACAGTGTATAGAATCGAATAATAGTGACCCTACTATCCGGATATCCTATTGCAATTGTAGTGTCATTGACTGCATGACAATTGAATAAACAATATTCAGCAGGGAGCCATAGCAGATTCTCGCCTCCTAATACGACCCAAGCATTAGATAAAGATATTTGAAGATTAGAAGTAGCTTCATCCGGAGATAAGTTGACCCAATTTGAATAGCCCTTGAGCGTCTGCCGCTCTATGCCAGTCGTTATATCCCAGAGTCTGATAGTATTGTCGTTGGAGCCTGACACTAAAGTACACCCATCAGGTGAGAAGGCCACTGAATTGACCCAATCTAAATAGTCTTTGAGCGTCTGCCGCTCCATGCCAGTCGTTGTATCCCAGAGCCTGATAGTCTTGTCATCTGAACCGGAGGCTAAAGTATGCCCATCCGGCGAGAAGACCACTGAACTGAATAAACCTAAATAACTCTTGAACGTCAATTTTCTGTCGGTTGTTATATCGCAGACCTTGATAGTGTTATTATTAAAGCCCAACGCTAAAGTACACCTATCAGGCGAGAAGGCTATTGAACTGACTAAGTCTGAATAGTCTATCATCGTCTGCCGTACTATGCCAGTTGTTATATCCCAGACTTTAATAGTCGTGTCGTAAGAACCTAATACTAAATTATACCCATCAGACGAGAAGGCTAATAAACTAACTGAATCTGAATACCCGGTAAGTATTCTCCACTCTTTACCAGTTGTTGTATCCCAGAGCCTGATAGTCTTGTTATCTGAGCCGGTGGCTAAAGTATACCCATCAGACAAGAAGGCCACTGAATTGATCCAATCTAAATAGCCTATAAGTGTCCTCCGCACTTTGCCAGTTATTGTATCCCAGAGCTTAATAGTCTTGTCATCTGAGCCCGATACTAAAGTATGCCCATCTGGCGAGAAGGCCACTGAATTAATCCAATCTGAATGGCCTGTAAGTGTCTTCCACTCTTTGCCAGTTGCTGTATCCCAGAGCTTAATAATCTTGTCATCTGAGCCCGACACTAAAGTACACCCATCTGGCGAGAAGACCACTGACCTGACCGAATTTAAATAGCCTTTGAGTATCTGCCGCTTCATGCCAGTTGTATCCCAGAGCCTAATAGTCTTGTTATCTGAGCCCGAAGTCGAAGTACCTCAATCAGACCAGAGGGCCATTAATTTAACTAGATCTGAATAACCATTGAGCATCTGCCGTAGCATACCAGTTCTTGTATCCCAGAGCTTGATAGTCTTGTTATTAAAACCCGATACTAAAGTGCGCCCATCAGATAAGAAAGCCACTGATCTAACTTGATCTACATAGCCTTTGACCGTCTGCTCTTTGCCAGTCGTTGTATCCCAGAGCCTGATAGTCTTGTCGTAGAAGCCCGATACTAAAGTGCACCCATCAGGCAACAAGACCATTGAACTGATTGTACCTGAATGACTCTTCAGCATCTGCCGTAGCTTACCGGTCATCGTGTCCCAGAGCTTGATAGTCTTATCGTCAGAGCCTGACACTAAAGTGCCCCCATCAGGCGCGAAAGCGATTGAATTAACTGAATCTAAATAACTCTTATACACCTGCCACTCTATATCAGTTACTGTATTCCAGAGCTTGATAGCTTTGTCCGACAAGCCTGATGCTAAAGTATATCCATCAGGCGAGAGGGCCACTGAAATAATTGAACCTAAATGGCCCTCAAACATCTGGCGCACTGTGCCGGTCTTTTTATCCCAGAGCTTGATAGTTTTGTCGCAGGAGCCCGATACCAAAGTACATCCATTAGGCGAGATAGCCACTGAAATAATTGCACCTAAATGATTATTGAATGTCTGGCACACTGTGCCGGTCTCTTTATCCCAGAGCTTGATGGTGCAATTGTCAGAGCCCAACACTAAACTGTATCTATCAGGCGAGAAGACCACGGAGTTAACCAGCTCTGTATGACCTGTAAGTGTCTTCCACACTTTACCAGTTGTTGTATCCCAGAGCTTAATAGTCTTGTCAGATAAGCCCAACGCTAAAGTACATCTATCAGGTAAGAAGGCCACGGAGCTAACTAGATCTGAATAGCCTGTAAGTGTCTTCCACACTTTACCAGTTGTTGTATCCCAGAGCTTAATAGTATTGTTATATGAGCCTGACGCTAAAGTGCATCCATCAGGTAAGAAGGCCACTGACCAGACCCATTCTGAATAGCCCTTGAGCGTCTGCCGCTCTATGCCAGTCGTTATATCCCAGAGCTTGATAGTATTGTCGTAAGAACCTGATACTAAAGTATACCTATCTGGTGAGAAGGCCACTGAACTAACTGAATCTGAATGGCCCTTGAGCGTCTGCTGCTCTATACCGGTCGTTATTTTCCAGAGCTTGATAGTCTTGTCGTCTGAGCCTGACACTAAAGTATACCTATCAGTTGAGAAGGCCACCTTATTGATTGAATCTGAATGGCCCTCAAGCATTTGTAAACTTGGGCGCCATAGTTCTTCGACAACTAGTGGCTTTTGTATCCGGTTTATTATTTTATTATAAAATATCTTCTTCACAATACTTTGTACAGGTGCGAATATCAGCACAGAACAGTAGAGTTGGAGTGGAGAAATGCCGGCCACATAAATATTTTAAAGAATAAATCTTTTCGCATTATAGAGAAAGTCGTAAATCTCAGCACCGATACTTTCCTATAATATATATCAGCCACGGTTTAACTGTAGAACTTAAAGAGACTTACCCATATACTTGATCTCAGTGTATCTATCATCTCCACTGCATTAGATATATTTCCAACTAGAGCCAGTGCCTTCAACCAATAAAGGAAACGTTTCGTTAGGAAGGAGAGAATTTCAGTCTCAGGCATATGACCTTTGCTCTGCTTAGTATAATATACCCAGTAGTAGCAGACATATTGCAAATCAGCTGTGATATACTGCTTGATAATCTGAGAATCAATATCCTTATACTGTGCTCCATAGCTTGCTAGACCACAGATGTTATATTTTAACTTGGTATCCATCATATGAAGGCAATATAATGCTATTTTCCTATACGTCTCTTGCCTATCTACGTAGAAAATGCTGCTTGTGTTTAAGAGATAATCTCGAAAAGATAAGTATAGAATTCGGACAGAAGCATCTATATTGCTTGAGATATAAAGAACTGATTGTAAGGGATATAATAGCTCGCGGATATCGTCCGCCGATAGTTATAGAAGCTGGGAAAGAGATTCAATAGAGAGTAGCATAGCAAGAAGAATAATAACTCTAACAATATTCTGAAACTCTTCCACAAGCTCCTTTGAGTAATTTCTATCATCCTCTATAAGTTGATCCAGAACTGGTAGATATATTTTGTCTATTTAAGTTGTAGTTATGTTTGCTTAAAATTCAAGAAATCTCTGAAGCTATTTCTTTGGATATATACCCTTTCTAATAAAGCGACATATCGTGGCCGCAAAGATAAATAATGGAACAGCCATCTGTACTATCTTTTCGAGAACTTTATTACCAGGCCAGCTAGGCGAAAGTGAACGCTTATAATAAATCTTAGAAAACTCGTCCTCCAGGAATATACAGATATCATATTCAATTATAGGCCTTTGAAGCTCATGGAGGACTAAGTCCTGATAAGAGTTATTTTGCGTGAAACCATAATAGACTGTAGGCTCAGGTCTGCTAGTCAAGAAGATTCGAAGACATAGAGCTTTTGATATCTGTATCTACAGTAAAAGTTAAAGTATAGCTTGTATATCATTTTCCCCTTCGTATTCATCCAATACATTAATTATAAAAACAATAGTCTTTGGTTTAACTTAATCCAGACAATATAGCGGTTCAAGAATCAATTCATCAAATTGTTATTTGATCGATCTATCTGATATAAAGGAGTCGGCATTAATTGCCATTTCGACGTAGCAGACCAAAGCAGGAATCCGACACAGAAGCTCTGCGCATATAGTGGTGAAGAATATCTTAGCAGTACTGCGGCCATGCTCTCCATATTTAAAGAAGAAGCTAGCTCCGAGTTTACCCTTCTCCTCAAATAATTGGGCTACAGTCCGAGAAATCGTTGATTTTCCAGTTCCCGCCATCCCATTCAACCAGAATATACACTTCTGGCTTGGATCCCCTGCCCACTTCTGGATCTGGCGAAGCAATTTAAGCCTGGTTTTTGGGTGGCATCTTGCGTTATCTTCTCCACCGAATGCATCAAAACTTGAACCTTCTGCATATAGTAGTTTGTTAAGGACTTTTTCACGTCTGCTGTCATATGCAAGGCCCTGAACAGTAGCGCTTGTATCTTCGACAACATTATGTATTTTAACCACTGATTTCTCAACTTTTAATAATATTACCAATTTGTTCAATCAAAGTAAAGTAGAAATGCCCTGGGTAAAGAAATAAAATCTCCAGTACAGCTTATATACTCTGCTTAATTCAATCCATATTCACAACTCCCTGTCCCGAAACAACCAGAAGAAGTTCTCTTGCATATAATACTGCCGTCGCCACAGAATATAGCTGCCAGATCTTGTTCTTATAGGAATCGGCATAGTCACAGATACCTCGTATAATAAGGCAAGGAAATGAGTCCATAAGCCCTAGATAAACATAAGATACTAGATTTTCCGGCTATTACAACAGACTTAAGAGTTGTGTGTTACTCACCAGCAGCCTCCATTTCGAAGCAAATTATATTCTCCTCCCGAGCCTATCTATCTCTTAAGATAGCGTCCTTCATCACTCGGTCCGCTGACCCAATAATTCCATAATGTAATCGAGATAAATTATCAGAACAATCTTTCCTCTTGACAAGATTGCTGTCTATGAGTCCGCAACAATTTTGACACGACTTATGTCCCTCTGAGTGAGTAAAGATTAACTTGAAAAGACAGTCCATTCTAGATCCTAGATATTAGAATTGTGTCGCATTTCCTGGATTTTTTAACACCAATTCAGATAATGTCTCGCAGATTTTGTGTCTGTATAACTTGTGATGCGCTCTGAGAGTCCCGACAGTACCCAGAACAATATTAGAAGGTTTGTTTAGTTTACCGCTACTAAGTACAAATTCCTTTTCCTGTAACAATTTCCTAAAATCATACTGTACAACAGCATCCGATAATTTTGAGTAAAGGCTGATTATCACATTACCAAGTCTTATATCTCGTATATCTTCTGTGTCGTCTTTAGAATTCTCCTCCTTTACTTCACTCTCATTTCCCTGTGCACCATAGTATGGCGCCCCACCACCAATTCCGACCATCAATCCAAATCTGACAGCTGGAAAGCTACGGGTCATGTCTTTGGCCACAGTAGCAGCAGATACCTTGCCTATTTCTCCTTCTGGCAGGCAAGCAATCACCACATTGTGGTCATGGATCCGGCCAAGGACATATGTATTTGCGTCCTGCGGATTAGTTACTGGTAGAACAGGATGTATTTCATCCAACATAGCCATGGCAGCTACCAGTTCGGTCTCCGGTAAAGCATATATCCAGCCGATAGTATAATCGCTATAGATAAAATATAGACGTTTCCGCTTTCTCCTTGGAGTCCAGCTAGTAGGAGAACATTCTGTGGTATCCATTTCGGCATCTAATGGTGTCAAAAGCCCTAATCCTAAAGAATAGTCTTGGGCTTGTAAATCGAATAGATAGTTTAAATCAAACAAGGAACTTGGGGCTGCCGGACTAGAAGCCCTAGATTAGAAAGAATAAAAAAGATCAAAATAATAAATAGGAAATCTGAATATCTGGTAAATTAGGTAGTTGGTTAATTATCTGTATTGGAAAATAATCAAATCCAGAAGGGGGTAAAGGCCATTTTTATGTTGAATTGAGGCAAGGCCTAAAAAGGCCGGAAAACTAGATCATATAAAGAATCATATAAATAGCTTAGCCCCTTACATCAAACAGGCTTAAGGCTAGGTCTAGATTAGAACTAGATTCCTAATTTCCACAGATTATATAAATTGTATATGAAACCACATAAACATCATGATATACAAGATAGGCCTTAGAATAATCTAAAAGTCTATGACTGAAAGAAGGTTTGCTCTATTCCTAAATAGATAGCTAGTTATGCCAGTGCCTATTTAGGGCTACACCTAGTTGGGATCTTTCCTAATTCAAGCTATTGCCTACAATGGAAATGGTCAGCTAACAGATAATATATCCAGATCTGAATAAATCAAGGTAAACAAATATATCTGTCACTCATATAGGCAGTGGTTGACAGGAATATTTGGCTATATTATTTAAATATACTTTGTATATTGCACCTCCAACTTTTTTTATATTAACCAGAGAGTAGTCCCAATTGGATCTACTACCACGGCTTAATCCTGTCGCGATTATACGATCCCCAGCCATATCATAGATCTGTAGCCCTACCAACTATCATAGTCATAGTCAGTCATGGCTATTCTTTGTGGTCTGATATAAATCGAGTTCTGTCAGCAGATTTGGAAAGGCAATTTCCTAGAGAACCCTTATAGATACTGATTATATATACAACTATCGAGGGTTTATAGCATATACACTTCTATAACTTTATCACTCAGACACATACCGATCATCTACAGATCTCCGACCATGGATATGTTACGGATGATTTGTTAGACAGTTATATAATGTCATAATAACTAGACTCTTTTTTACAGTAACTTTGGTTAGCTAAGTTTAAGCTGGAGAACCTAGGGTATATAGTTTATTAGGGGCAAAATAGAGTCTTGGTAGAACAGAGTAGTATTAAGATCATATAAGTAAACAGTAACAATATTTCAGAAGAGTTATTCTAATTTACACATAGCTGCAGGGCGTGGGGGAAGCTGCCAATGAAATCCGTTCAAAGGCTTTCTTTGAAGGACTGGTGGGGCTACTAACCTAAGAGATAACTTACGTGGATAGTTATTTGGTCTACTATACAAGATTGTGTCATAATATATCAGCATATTTTACAATACTTATAAGGAATAGTAATGTTCCGTGATTCTTCTCAAAGAAGTTTAGCATTGTTTCACCATAGGGTTAAAACAATAAAACAGTATAAGTAGTGACACCCAATATCCGGACAGGCTGTACTAGAGGATATAAAATACTAAATTATGAGAGTAGTAATTCTAGTTCCTAGACACCTTGTTTATTAGGCAGCTTTGTCGTCTGTAACCAATTTTCTAGATATAGGATATGGTCGCCTTAGTAAATGAATATTCACTCGGCTACGGAAATATCTTGATTAAGCTAAAAAGAAAGATCCTCTCTTTCGATTCCCTATTATTTTTTAATAGATACAGATCCTTTCCTTTCCCTTCTTTCTTTCTTTTTATTACCGTACCGTGCTGTACACTAGTAATTAGATAAAAAAACACAACATAATCTAGAAATAATAACTATAGTTAAAGCTATTTATAGCTCGCGTAAAGAACAAGACTATAATTTACAATACTCAGAGTAAATACACTATATATAAGATAATTTTGGTACTACAGTGTACTTTATATACCATTTCATTCTTTTAAAGAAGTAGTATTAGTATATATTTATTTGTCCTCGCTTTCTAAAATAGCTTGCAATATTTGCTACATATTGACAACATTGCCTTTGTCTATCTTGGCATTCATTGCTGTGTTTTTCCTCGTTTTAAAGCTTTGAAGTATAGCCCTCCCACAGTAAACCCCATATTCTAACCCGATAAGCCTCAGAGTTTACATAACTACTGATATATCCAAGAACACTCCGGTAAAGAAGGATCTATTAGTCCCACAGAAGAAAAGGGCGTCCAGAAGATAGGATTGTACAAAAGATAGTTTAAAAATCCAGATACCAGGTCCTTTCAGTTAGTTAACTGAACACCTAGCGTATATTCCTGTTAGAGACATGGAGAGCTGGGTACATCGGTCAACCGCGATTCGCCGTCAGGAGGTTGTCAAAAGAAACGGTAAAGTCACCAAGCCGATGAACTCCTTTCTACTCTATCGGCAGGTGTATATCAAGCGCGCTAAGGAATGGCTGGAGCAGGACAATCAGAAAATATTGTCCATAGTATTTGGGCAAAGCTGGGAGATGGAGCCCCAAGAGATTCGAGATACTTACGGACTCTTGGTAAGTATCGATAAGAAGAATCACATCGAGGCACACTCTAAATAGTCAGTGAGAAACATAGATATAAGGGGATACGAGAAAAATACATCTGGCTACACAATCAGTTCTGAATTGGCTGGTGTGCAGTACCCCCTTATGGAAGGTTCAATGTTTGAAAGCCTAAGAGGCAGCTATAACTCGGCGGGGACAGAATATTATACTATACCGGCGGCCTTTGATACTTACGCTCCAGAAGTTCCTGTTTCGTCCGAGCAAGTCTGGTGCTCTATTCCTAGTACCTGCGTAGAGTATGACCTTAATGAGAGGGCGATTTTGGACGGTGTCCAATATAAGTTCAGCTCCGTACACAAAACACCAGGAGTGTTATGCCTATGTACTCTGTCACCCCAATTCCCAGGTCTCGTATCGGATATTGGTACCTGGGAGCGACAATTGTTAGAATTATCGGACCAGCTATTATATAGTGCCACGGAGCACTCAACAGACCTCACCCTATTATATAGTGTGCAAAAATCATAAACAGATAGCTACCATGCTCTAGGAGTTCCACCAATAACATCTGCGGACTTCTATCAGCCTATAAATATGCCACTACTAGGCTTCCTACAGGATTGTGAACCTCCAATATCAGACTCTGACGCAGATATGGAGCAGGTTAATTGTTGGAGTACTGACAACGCTTTTATTATATAAAGTTAGATATTGTAAACTTTGATACTGAATTAAATCGATTATATCCTTTGTTATTTCCTTTCTTTCTGGTTGACACATGGCGCCGTATCCTGGGTTATTTAGCAGGAGGTACAGGTTATTTCGAAATCAGTCTTTGAGAAATTGTTCTCGAACACTGATACCAAGATACACTAAACCAACTATAGATTGTGCAAAATAATGCACTCGCTCTATACCATTCCTATGGTACATAATTAATAAGTCAAATAAGAAGTCTTTTCATTTATTGGTAAAAGCTGCCGCTATTTAGACAGCTTGCTGGACATGTAGGGGATAAAGCTGCAGTGAACCCACTTCAAAGATTTCTAAAATTGTTAGACAATCGCCAAATACTACACAGGCCTTTAAGCATATTCAGGCAGAGAATATATATATATAAATTTCTTGCTGAGACTCCCTTATCTTATGATCTCTATGTCCTTATATTAACTGTAGCTGTCGATTATTAAACTGTCACCTTATTACAACAATTATTTTAACAGTATATTTTTTCTATTGTATATAACCTTTGTACTTATACTGTATAAACCACAAAGACAGTGTCTTGGAGGGTTATCTAGCTGTTATAGATAGCCTACAAGTATGCACCCAGGTCAGTTCCAGATATAACCAAATTTCTCTTTTTAGCTCTAGATCAACGGCGATGGTATATTAAGTGTAAATTAACTTATAGCTTGCTTATCTTCGATACTTAAATCCACTATCAGGAGAATATAAATGATCCCTGTCCTCCTCTCCCAAGTCTGCAGTCAGTTTACAGACTCAGAGGATCTGCAAAGCCAAAACAACAAGATTGATCAGTTCTTCTCTGGAGATATCTTTGACTGCAAATCTGTAAGAGCGGAATCGAGGGAGGAGGCCTAACCCAGAAGGGGTGGAGGAATGCAGTGCGTTCGGTTTGGGGTGGGGCCCCGTTTGGCGGGCGGGCGCGTTTAGGGTCGACGTGGATTCGTTTTAAAATTGCCCACGTGGACTTGTAATGCCCCCCCCGATCCGATCAGGCTCAGAATTGGCCAGATTACTTGGAGCTATCCCTTGTATCAACTGTCCATTTTGCAGCGTGTCAATCGCTTGGGAAAATAATATATAGCCAGCAGAAGTTTGTATTGTAAAAATTTAGTTGGGGTAGATACAGACTGGCAGAATTCCCGACCGCCCCCATCTTCACCGCCCCGACCAACTATAGTTTAG